CCGTGGCTTGGAAGCATACTTGCTTCGTTTCTGAAGGAAGTGACTTGGAAGTAGGCGACTACCAAGCCAGCATCCTCGAGACTGAGAAACGGCCCAGTTTGCTCTTTGTCTCCAAAATTGTGGATCTAGCTCCTTATTGATCAGGTGGTAAAATCTCTCCAGCTGTCTCAGATACATCTTGGCCAATAAATACATTCAAAACAATGAGAGGACAAAAAAACACCTTTTTGAAATCGTTTGTCTTATTTGGAGCTAATTACATGATTCTTGCCATTTTGAGTTTGTTTCCTCATTGATGATTGCCTAATCCTAAATTGATAAAAGCACCAGCTAGATGTAATGAAATGGCCTGAGAGACCCTGAGGAGAGCTACAGAGCTGAGTTTGGTCTTCATTAACCTGAGGGATGACGATGTCTGCCAGGGCGCGGGACAGCCTGAACAGCTCCAGCGTGTCCTCCAGTCCCAGCGAGGCGTTGTGCTGCGAGTCGTATTTGATGCAGTCGTAGATGTCGGGGATCTTACTGATGTCGTAGCGGCCGTTCTTCATTCGGAAGTCTCTCTCCAGTTTGGACCAGCGCTGCAGCATCAGCTCCAGCGTCTCACTGTGGTACAGCTGCAGGTCTGAGACAAGAAGCACAGCAGGAGTGAGCCATGTTTCCATGTTGGACAGGTAAATGTCTGGCAATGTTTACTTGATATTCACAGCCTGCACACCTTTCCAGCTTCTGCCTGATTCATGCAGAGAAAAGCATATCAACTAAACTGGTAAAGCTGTTTGAGCTAATACGCTGCTCAACTGCGGAACAAATTCTAAGAAGCGCTAAGATTTTGGATAAGGCTACTTTGAATTTCAGGCTAAAGAACTACCTGTTAATTCATTTTCTTTTAAATTATATTTGTTGGTTTACGTTTTGTTTTCCTTTTGCTTGCTTGTTTGCTTTGTTTCTATCATACGTTTCATTTTCTTCAAATGTAATATACCTATCACGGGTTCAAAATGGTGGAAAAAGCTCTGGGTTGATATCAAATTAAAAGTCTACACATCTTCCATCGCAGACTTAAAACCGGTTTCAACTGAACCTTGGCATACACATATAATAATTCTACTAGTTGTTTGGATAAAAGCATCAGCTAAATTAAATATAATGTAATGTTATGAAAAGCCTTTAGGTTAGGATATGTGCTTTAAAAATAGATTACTAAACCACAGATTTTGGCTTTAAAGAACATTTTGATAATCGTTTATCTAAAGCCAGCTGAATACTTTTCTTCTGTATGAACTAGGTAAGGCAGGTTCACCCTACCTGCAGACTTGGGGTCCTCCAGTCTTTTGCGGATCTGTGAGTTGAGGCTCTGGATGAGGGCGTACACTTTGTCACAGGTTTTGACCGGATTCTGTATGATCTTCATCGAGTTCACCAGCGACGGGCTGCTAGTCGGCGCCAACTAGTACACAAGGGAAACAGACAAGATGTTAACATCACATTATACTGTTGAATACAGGCAGACAAAAATACTTTGAAACCTTTAGCACATGTAGTTTGAAAAGTCAGCTTCTGTAATAATGTTTGCCATCAGAAATAATATTACTTTTATTATGTCTGAGAGACGTCACTTCTACCAAGAGGAAGAACAATAGGAGCTAAATAAGAAGTAGAAAGACTTTATTATACCCAAGGTTCATACACTTTTTCACCAATGACTTCTCCATGACCTTTACCTAATTTTCCATGACCAAAAAAATGACTCTTTCTCAGCGGTACCACTGAAACATTTTTATTTTAGCATGGTAAGCTGGAAAATAAGGTCTGCATATGAAACATGTTTGTCTATCTAAAACAAATCAAATAGTAGGCTGACTTGTGCCTATCTAAAACAAATCAAATAGTAGGCGTGATTTTAAAAATCTCTCACCAGCAAAATACCTCGACAGTTAAATGCCATTCTACGTTTCATTCCTATACGATACAGTATTTATTATCATTATAGTATTACTATGTCGGCGATTTGATAAAATATAAATTATATTTGATGCAACTTTGGTTACATTTCCATGACTTTTCCAAAAATATTGTTTTCCATAACTTTTCCAGGGCCTGGAATTTGCATTTTGAATTTCCATGACTTTTCCAGGTTTGTAATGACCGTAGGAACCCTGTATACCAAAGGCAGATAACATTTACTGCCTTGACACTTTCAATGTATTATTCCTCTGGCTTTAATCTCATCCTAACATCATATAGGAAGTAAATTACAAAGAGATTGACATGTCTTGGAATAATTACCACTTCACGAAGTTTAAACTGAGCTTACTGGGGAACATTGAAGTATTTACCTTATCAAATCAAACATGTTCTCTTTCCCCCTCTCAGCTACAAACCTTCAGATAGTCGTCCTCTGTGAACTCCTGGCTCCTCTGCATGATCTCGTGCAGTCGGGCCTTCACTTTCTGTTGGCAGTCGGTCAGAGAGTCGCTGTCGCTGTCCAGCAGACCGTTCATGTTGGCGCTCTTCACCATCTGGACCAGGATGGGAGTCAACTCTCCTTCCAGAGCCAGCAGACCCTGAAGGGAGACCAGAGAAGTGGTGAGTAATCAATGTGTGGACTTTCTACTTAATCTATTTCCTTTGAGAAAATGAGATACATGTTTAAGGTTTAAGGTTTTTAAGGTCTGCAGTCAAGCAGAATGAGGTCCATTACTTTCTGTAAGATAACCTTAAACCTTTCTTATTGTGTATCTGCAGCTTTCTAAAATGTTACGTCTTATTTACAGACAAAAGGCTGTTTTCATTTAGTGAATTTACAGTTTTTTTTAAAGCTTAACAACATTTTATTTTCAATATAGTATTACATTCTGCACAGCTTCTTATGTAACACTATCTTTTCTAGGGTTAGGGTTGGAGAGGGACATTAACATATATACAAGTTCATCAACATAAAATGAATTATTATAAGTGATTATATATACTAAAGTTAATCTAAAGTGGAATCATTTGCTTGTTTTAATTTGCAATGAAAATATGTTCTTTATTTTTGTTGTCTTATATCAACACAACATCTTTTGAAAACACAAACAAAAATAATATAATAGTTAAAAAATTACAATTTAATTCCAACTCTGAAGTTGTGTCCACCAAACTACACATTAAATATTTCTTCAATTATGTCTTCACTGTAATAAGGCAGAAACAATGGATCACAAGCATCCAAAGATATACTTTGTCCCTTTCAGAGTTTTCCCCTTACGGCCCGTCTACACTACAGGCATCAACAAATCTTGAAGCTGGGCGTGTCTGAGGCTTGGCGATTTCTCGCGCCCAAGGCGACCAACAACCAATCAGGAATCTCCCGCCCGCCCCCGGCATACAAAGCAAAATAAAGCCCGCTTCTTCAACGAAGTAAACTGGATATAAACTCCCCAAACAGTTGAAAACCTACCAGTTTCACCAACTGTCTCTGCCACCTCCCGCCATGCCTGGTTCCTCCGGTTTAGGTCCCGGTAGGTGAACAGAGTACAGTCATACAGGACTGGGACACTTGCCACGGCAATGATTAATTTATCCTCCATTTTATGACATATGGAAAATAGTCAAGAACTGCGGTATCAGCATACACACGGTTTGATTGGCTAGCGCTTGTACTGGCGGGAATTGCATAAACGGGATTTGATTGGCTGATACCAAGCATCGAGCCTCAAAATTAGATGCTCGTGATTCTTGCAAAGCCATGCCCCCCACAATGCAGTTCGGCGAAGATTAAAAATCTTCTACGTCACCCCATTCAAGTGAGTGGGCGAAGCGTTGAAAGCATTTTTCGATGCCTGTAGTGTAGACGTACCATAAGAGTAGGTTGCATGTCTATTTTCGACACGAGGCTTTGCATAA